GTCGGGGCTCGGATCCCCTCCCCGAGCTCAGGGTAACTTTTGAAGTGGAGGGGACCCCAGTAAATTTTGAAGTGGATACAGGGGCAGTATACTCAGCCCTTAAGACCCCATTGGGCCCTCTGTCAAATAAAAGGTCTCTGGTTCAAGGGACTAATGGCAGTAAATATCGGGCTTGGACAACTAAGAGGACCATGGACCTAGGGAGAGGAAAAGTCCATCACTCCTTCCTCCTTCCTAGTAATCCCAGAATGCCCGGCCCCAATGATGGGCAGGGATCTGCTCACCAAGATCCGGGCCAGAATAACTTTTAACCCTGAAGGCCCCCAAGTGGAATTTCTAAATCCTTCAGTAAAAACTCCTATAGTCACGGCTTTGACTATGTCAGTAGAAAATGTACATCAAGTCACTCACCTTGGTTCAAAGAAACTGCAGGCATTCCTGAAGGATCAGGAACAGAGTTTTCCACTAACCGACTCACAGCGAAAGGAAATAGCTGAACAGGTAACAAAAGCCTGTCGAGTCTGTCAATTGGTTAATGCTTACCCTTTCAAGCTTCCTGCAGGAAAGCGCGTACGAGGAACCAGACCAGGACAATTCTGGGAAATGGACTTTACTGAAATTAAGCCAGCAAGGTATGGACTTAAATATCTCCGTCTTTGTAGATACATTTTCAGGATGGATTGAAGCCTTCCCCACAAAAAAAGAAACGGCACAAATGATGGTCAAGAAGATCCTGGAAGATATTTTTCCAAGTAATGGCCTGCCTAAGGTAATAGGGTCTGATAATGGACCGGCGTTCGTGGCCCAGGTAAGTCAAGGGTTAGCCAGGACTCTGGGGATTAGTTGGAAGTTACATTGTGCTTATAGACCCCAGAGCTCAGGACAGGTAGAAAGAATGACTAGAACCATTAAAGAGACCTTAACGAAATTAAGCTTAGAGACCAGCATAAAAGATTGGACTATGCTCCTGCCTTATGCACTGTTTCGTGCAAGAAATACTCCCTCTGTTTCTTTGTGTAACCTCACCCCCTATGAAATTCTCTATGGTGCCCCTCCTCCAGTAAGGGACCTGACCCCAACGCTAAGACCTAACGATTCCTTTCACACCCCCTTGCTTGACAGACTTAAAGCTCTTAAAAGAACCCAGCGATACCTGTGGAAACACCTGGCCACTGCCTACCAACCTGGGGACGAAGGGACTCCACACCAATATCAAGTGGGAAACTTCGTCTACGTAAGACATCAGGTGTCATCCCTGGAACCCCGCTGGAAAGGACCATACCAGGGGGGTATGGTCCTGATAACTACTTATTATGGCTACTTATAACACCTACAGCGGTAAAGGTAGATGGAATCACTTCCTGGATCCATGACTCTCATCTCAAGCCTGCGCCCTGTCCAGACTCTGGCTGGAAACTGGAAAAGACTGATAACCCTTTCAAATTGCGTATTCGCCATGTGGATAGGGCTATGGACTCTCCCCTTGACCACCAGCAGTCCTAACCCCCATCAGCCCGTTCAGCAGCGATGGCAGATCATAAATCCTACTGGACAAGAAGTATGGTCTGTCTCGCACACAGCCCCCTTAGGGACCTGATGGCCATCTCTCCACCCAGACATTTGTCAGCTGGCTATAGGTCTTTCCTATTGGGATATCCCTGATGAAGAGGATCCCACTAAAATTCCATTAAACCCCTTCCGTACCATAGATAATGGAAACAAACATTATGGGTGTAGGGACATGCGAGCCAGATGCAGCTTGGCTAGCCTAGATTACTATGTTTGCCCGGTGGCCTATGGGAGCCGCAAACAGTCACAGCTGTGTGGGGGAAAAGTTGACTTCTTCTGTAAGTCATAGGGATGTGAGCATACAGGCGCTGCCTGGTGGAACTCAAACTCCCCTGATAGTCTGATTCGGGTAGGAAAAAATAATACTAAGTCCCGAACAATGTCTCCCATTTAAATGGGACCCCCAAGCGGGGACTTCTGGACTAGCTGACCCTACTCCATGTGACACAAGTAGCCAATGTAACCCCCTAAATATAACCTTCACCTCCAAAGGAAGAAACCGAAATATCTGGGCATGGCTTTCAGGAAAAACCTATGGAATGCGATTTTACACCACAGGATATGATTGTGGCCTTTGGTTCACTATCCGGTTTGAAAAAAAAAAAACGAAATTCCCTTAGCCATAGGGCCCAATCCCCTCAAGCCAGGAATTAGGCCTCATAGACCTCCCAAATCTAAATCTACTAGGATCCCTTCACTTTCCCATACTCCTCAAGTTTCGCCTTCGTTTACTTCCCCAATCCAGAGTGAAGTGAACCCCTCCCCCTGGGGGCTAATCGAAGGAGCCTTTGCGGTACTGAATTCCACACAACCAGACCTCACTCAGTCTTGTTGGCTCTGTCTCTCCGCTGCTCCTCCTTACTATGAAGGGATAGCAGTTGACGGGACTTATGCAGTAAAAGCGCAGAGTTCCTCCTGTAATTGGGATGAAAATCCTAA